GACACCAAAGATTTTTTTTGTAACTTTCACAAGAATTTCCTCTGCTTCTTTCCAGGATCTATCATGTTCTAATTTTTCTGGATCTCCATCTGATGTTCATTATAACTCAACACAAATTTTCCGCATGTTTGTTGGTAAGAAAGTAAGTAACATCTTACAGGCTGGTTCCTATAAAAAATTAATCCTACATGAAAATATGATGGTAATAACAACATCACCTACCATAAAGGCTCTTTTTATTTTTTTTTTGCAAATTTCTTCACTAGCTCCGAATTATCACAAATAACCAGACTTGCGATAGGATGCTTCCATAATAACCACACCTCCTAGAGGTTAGAACTAATATTACTGTTTTAACAGATAATTAAGACATAATATAAGATTCTCAATCTGTTCTGAACTTAGAGGCTTGCTTTATTCTGTGTTTTAAAAATTAGCATATTATAATAGATTTTTAGTATTAATATAAAGACGGACCAATATATTGTTTTTACTGCTCCAATATCTCGTAAACTGCATACTCCTTCGAAAACATCGTCATACTAGCGTAAAAATACTTTAGATTAGACCATGTTATTTCTGAAAATTGATATTTAATTAACGCGCGCGTCGTCAGATAGATGCAAATTCTATTGACATGTGGTCAACACGCAATAGACTTTGCTTGGTACCAAAATAAAACATAAAAGTTTACATATGGATGCAGCTTAAACATTCTCCACACTTTCAAGGGTTGATACCTCTACTTGTAGGCTAATAGGACGAATAAATTGTTATGCGCACTTCCACAGAGATGTACCAATATTTGCGCCATTAATCATTCGGCAATAATAGGGATCTTTTCAAAAATCTATAACTAATCTGAGCAAGAATCTTAAGAAGCGTATTTTGAGATAATGCACTTTTAGAATATATATTTAATGAGGAATTAATAGCATTTTGTACATCGTTCTCAAATCTTTCTTTGAAATCCAGGATTTATCTTCTATAACTTGATAGATAACAGAAACAGCAGTTATATGAAGTAATGAGAAAGTTATAGACCTTTTGGTATATTTCACTAGACATAATGAAAAAAACAATCATATTCAGTTATCCAATAAACTTTCAATCATATTTTGCATGCCATCAATTATTAATATGATGGTAGCATTCTCTAACTCTTCGTTTTCATATTTTACAACTAAATTCAAAACATCCCCATAGGATGTTAACTCATATCTAGCAATTACAGTATCCAATTTCTCTTCAAGAAGTTGGAAGGGCATTTGAGTAGCAATAGTCATATAACTATCCTTTTCAATAGGTCTTAAGCTATGACCATTCCTATTGCGAACCAGTACTGAAAAATAAAGTTTTGGTTTTTTGTACGATAGTCTTGGTAGAGCAATGGAACGCAAATTAGTCTTAATATTAGAAAAAATTGAGCTTTCATTACTACATACCAGTAGAAAATGCTTCAGTGACTTTTAATTTTTGTATTAAATCATATAAAAAAACCATATTCGTGTTGACCAATCATTACGATGCAAAGGCTTCATCTAAATCAAAGGCACATGATAACAAAAAAAAAGTAGCGTTATAAACAATATAACGGCAAAATATTCGATAAAATACTGGATATATTACTAAGGAAATCTTTCAAAAGGCTCAGGCTTTTCATGACTTTTAAGGGCCAAAAACAACCTTTTTTCTTTTCTGAATTATTAATTTAGTTTCTTCTTTTTTGAGAAGGCTATCGATGATTCGTAAATGTTAGACATATGGGACCTTTGCAATAGAAAAGGGGGAAACGGCTGAAAAAAATAAAATTTGAGTTAATACTAAATCTGAACATATTTTGACCTAAAAATCATATTTGGCATATAAAAGTAAAA